CTGGTCGTGCCCACTGCCCTGCGACGAAAATTAACCCGAGCCATTCACGAGAAACTCGTGCACCTTGGTTACCATAAGACTTTGCTGACCCTTAAACAGCATTACTACTGGCCAGGTGTGGAGAGTGAAATGGCACTGTTATTGAAGGGTTGCCACGATTGTGCACGGTGGAAGGCCCCGGTTGGCCGTGATCCGGCGCCGCTGCAGTCTATCCGGGTTTCTCGTGGCACTTGACATTTTGGGGCCCTTCCCAACATCCCAACGGGGCCACAAGTACCTCTTGGTGGGTGTTGAGTACCTCACACGTTGGCCTATGGCGTGGCCTTTGGTGGACCAATCGACCTCGTCCATCACCGAGGCATTTGTACAGGGTATGTTCTTGACAAGGGTTCTCCGGAACAACTATTAACTGACCAGGGACGTAATTTCTCTTCTCGACTGCTCAAAGAGGTCTGTGACCTCCTCCTTGGCACCAGGAAAATTCGCACCTCACCCTATCACCCTCAGTCCGAAGGGATGGTCTAAAGGTTGAACCGCACCCTCACGTCTATGTTGTGCCACCATGTGAGCACGTCCCAGTCGGACTGGGACCTGTTCGTTCCGGGGGTCCTGGCCTCGTACAGGCTGGCCCCTCACGCCTCGACGGGGTTCTCGCCCTTTTATTTAATGTATGGCAGAGAACCGGAACCCCCGATTCAGGTCCAAATGGACTTGGGTTCCTCTAAAAAGGGATCCACAGTGCCTTCCCCTATGAAAGTCGCGCTCGAAAGGGTACGTGAGGCACGGCAAGCAGCTGTTGACAATTCGACCAGCCAACAAGCGGCCAATGAGCGCTTTCCGAGGCACCAAGGTTCCGGGCTTCCGTGGGAAAAGGGGCAGAAAGCATGGCTTCATTGTCCCCAAGTGCCTGTTGGGACTTTCCCTAAATTGCATCGCCCTTGGCAGGGCCCTGTTGAGGTCGTGGAGGTCCGACGCCTGCAATGTGTTCGCATTCGCTTCGGTCACCGGCACTGGATCGTACACCCGTCTAGGCTGAAAAGATATATGCCACATAGCTCTGTTGATTCATCCCCACTTCTGGAGCGGCCGGTGATTGATGCGTCCGACGCGCCGGGCCGCCCGGGCCAGGATGATGCGCAAGATAAACACTCTGTATGTGTGCCCACAGAACCTCCCCGGGTAGCTCCGGTGCCGCCGCCTCTTCCTGTGAGAGCCCCGGCGTCGGGCCTGATGCACCGCCTGCCTCGACGACCGACGCCGCACGTGGGAGCGGACCAGTGGCTCACACGCGCTCAATGGGCGTTCGGTTCCGCTGACCGACCCTCTGGGCCCGTTCTCATCGGGTTCCGGCCGTCACCGTCGTAATCGGCGCATTGCTCCGCGAGATGACGGCCTCCCTAATTTGTCGTTCTGCCTTAACGTTCGCCTTTGGTTCCTCCGCAGACGGCTACACCTTCACACTCGCTTTTACATTGTTGTTATTGTTGTTGGTCGATATCTTGCACACCAGGTTCGATGGGGCTCTGCTTTCGTTTAATTGACAGCCGGGATGGCTGAATTTTTATTTTACGAGGGGGGGAGTAATGTAGAGGAGTAGTTGGCGACGTGACGTCAGACGCGTGGTGAGGCGCGATGACGTCATGTCACGGGGGATACTTAAGGGGGACCCTGTGACGAAATCAGGGTTTTTGGGGGAACCGGGGATGGTGAGCGGCTGAAGGGGAGCCGAAGAGACAGCCAGGGGTAGGGCTCATAAAAGTCTGCAAAAGCCGGCTAGGTTTGCGTACTGAGTGGTGCTCTCCTCGGTCGGGCGGTGTTGGTTGAGCCCCCGTCCCGACCCGAGTGAGAGAGCCCTAGAGATAGCCGAACTAGGGTCCAATAGAGCCTGAGGTTCGAGTGAAGGACCAAGTATTGGGACACCTATCTCTGGTGTGTAGTGTTACCCTGTGTGTTTAATAAACCGGCGTAAGCCCTTACCAGAATATCTGCCTCCGAGTCGTCGTGCACTACACAACAGCTTTATATGCAGTTGTCTTTAGAAGCTAACCCCACTTCTCCTGATGACGGCCGCTTGTGTTGCGATCGAAACGTCGTGATATTTTTAGTATTTTTTATTATATTTTCTCTATCTACGTAACTTTACCGAAAGGCCCAAAGAATAATAATATCCAAACTTCTGAGATACAGATCTTAAATGAATGCAACAGGACAAGATTACATATATAAAGTTGGCAGAGAGTAGTGTTTATATATGGATTTTATCTATACTTGTGAGTGTAGTTTGTTTTCTCATGTAAAGTGCTTTGCGATATTTCGATATGAAAGGTGCTTTGTAGAATAAATGTTATTATATTATTATTACTACTTATTTCACTCTATCTTCAACGCAGTCCCAATTTATTGGACGAAAATATCTGCGCACATGCTGCAAAAAGTGAGGCTATGAATGAAAACACAACTCTTCCCATAACAATAGTTACACGTGAATTGAATAGTCTAAGGATAGAATGTTAATTTATCAAATTTAACCCCGTTAGGGAATTTGAAGAGACAATTGAACGTGGTCTATTGAAAAGCGTCAGTTTGTGACCACCACTAGAATAGCACTTAAAGGAGGCAAGGGAGCGAGTAGGTCAAGACACTGGAGCAGTTGCCTATTAATCATCTTCTGGCACTTGCTTCAATCATGAGTTGCTGCCTGGCAAAGGAACGTTTAAAATGGCTCTATTAAAGGTTACCATGGAATGTGAACCACATCATTTTTAATTAGTTACTGACATTATCCATCATTTTCATTTGATACACTCCTGAGAAGATCAATGTAGTCCCGCAAGCCATAATGATTATCCCTTTGGCAATTTACGAACGGAATTATGTTCTGAAATTCTATTTCTGTATCTGCCTGTTTATCCGGCCGATTGTCCGTTAAATGATGCTACATATTTCACAGTTGATACTGCAGAAACCTAACAAAGTACATTACTGCATACAGTAATAATTTAACGCAGCTAATATTTTTGGCACGATAAATTAAGATACATTTAATTTGTTGAATACTTAACCAGAACAGCAATCATTTACAGGCCTTTGTCACTCTAATGCTGAATAAAGGCATCCCCATGCCGTGTGAGTCATGGGATTTGATTGACAATACTTAACCACGCACGTCAGTGCTGTTGGCGAAGGCGGCCCAGTACTGGTTTGGATATGACTCACCACCAATATTAGCCTTGGCTGACAAATAAAACTCATGTCACTGGGCTTAGAGATTTGTGTAACCCCTGCTGCTTCTTTCGCCAATTCATAAATGTAACTTAAAGAGTAACATTTGTATCTGCTGTTGTGTATTAGCACTGGTGAAGGTCACCAATCTTTGGAATAGACTCATACGCAACTTGTTTTTTTGGTGCCTTTTTTTCTTCAGACTGTGAAGCCGTTAGTTCATATATCCGTAAACGGGTGTATCGTGTGTATCTCTCGAGTGGTACTTTACAAGTAATCAATGGTAAGGGTTCTACCACAGATGAGATAAACCTGTAATACATTTTAACGCGGAGGCTTTAGTGACCATTGACACACCTCTGATCTTCGCACCCGATAGGATCACGATGATGACATCACCTTACTGTGTAACACGTCGGCTTTCGCGACCAATATTATTAATAATAATGGGATTTTGGCTTAGATCGCGTAAGTATAAATGTGTTGTAACCCTCCACCACCCGACACAGCCAGTAAGGGTTGTCACGTAAACGAAACGCGCCAATTAGTCACTACTTCAGCCCACCGGGTGTGTTGGAGAGTAAATGCACAACATACGCAATTTGAGTATGACGTTTCGCTGGCAATTACATCCAGCATCATCAGGCAAATGACTCTCTTTATGAGGCTGATTGTAATCACCAGCGAAACGCCGCACTCAAATTGTAAATGTTGTGGGTTTACTCTCCAACACACAAAGTAGTAACTAATTTGCACATTTTGTTTAGAAACAAGCCATGTCCGGTGGTAGTGGGTTAACGACACATTTATATTTACGCGATCTAACCCCGTACAAAACATTTTTTACGAGCTGTAATACATTACTGAATTCCAGAACCATTTTTCCAAAAAAAGGCAATTACAGTACTTGAAGCAACGCAATAAGAAAAACTAACGCTCATGTTGTTGCATATCTTCTCTGTAAAACAAAAAAATATCCCTTAGTGTTGATAAAGATCCTATTTGGTTATACACCAGCTTACTTTTGAAGCAATTATTTTAAAGCAGATGACGAGATAATGGTTTTATATTTCAATGAAGGGACAGGCCCATATATATATAAAACGAGCAGTAGATATAGTCCCCAGGTCCTGATGCGCGCTGGTCTCATCGTAACAAATAACGGGGGCAGTGTTGCTATACAGAGATAGAGGTCAGTGCTACAATATCTAGTTTTCGTGAATGATAAACCAGTGTAAAAGGTGAATATGTTTCACTGATGCTGCGCAGCCCCTTATCTTGTTGATATTCCATGTCATCATGCTCACATTACAATTTTAAGATGTTACTTTAAGATGTTCGTCACTTTCAGATGTTTTCTTGTTCATATTTTTGTTTTTTGTTTGTTGCGGTTGCACCCGATTCAAGAGCCGAATGGCTCACAGGGCTATACCAAAATAAATGAAAGTGAAAACTGAAACAATGTCCCTCCATTCAGAGCACACATCTTTGTATTTCACTTAAAAGTTCAGCATTTTACAGAATACATAAGAAAAGATGTACATAGCACATGTGACACAATTAGGCAGGCATTAGATGTGAAGTCGATATTACTCTCGCACGTTTAAAATGACCATAGACACATTTGGTACATTTTTACATTCTGATGGCTGTAAATTGGGGCAACTTTAGGTGTTCCATGGACATGTGTACATCATGCCAAGGCCTATACCATGTTGTTGCACTTCGCGTAATGCTGTTTATTTTGTACATATGCAATAAACCAGGCCATACTTTACCTCTGCAATAGGCAAGATAGCAGAAATGTCTCTCTGAGTCACCGTGAGCTCAGTTGTGACATAGACTTGTCCCGTTGTCACGGACTTGCCAACGTAGTCCACCTGCCAGAGGATTCGGCGTGTGGCGGAGAGGCTGCTCACACTGCTGATCTCAAACATCAGCTGTGCAATCTCCTCTGCTCCCGTGCTGCACAAACATAGGAAATGAAGATAGGTCAAACATTACACAAATGCTCCCGAGTTGAAATTTACCCGGCATTCAAATATCACATCTGTACCATTTGTTTGCCGATTTGGCTTAACCCAACAGCGAGTGGCTTTGAGATTATGTAATTTCAGCTGACAATTAAGATTTGTAATCCGTATAGAAATATTCTCACAAAAATTACTCGAATTCCCCTTCTCCCCCTCCCACAAATATTTATGGCACAGTACACAGAGCAGCATGTATATTTTGCGGATTAAAACTTCCAGTAAATTCAAAGTAACACAGCAGTATTAAATTCATGGAAGTCATTGACAATTGGATGGTTTCATGCCAGTGTGCTTTGAACCACTTTCACCCACCCCCACCGCATCCACAGTGTCACTGTGCATTGCAAACAAATCAATATCAATCACACCCAAATGCTGTCTTTTTCTGAAACCCGTTAAATCTCACGCGAAAAAAAAAACCCCACGGTGGCGTACAAATGTGAAACGTTGGAAATGTACCTGTTGGTGTCCGTCGGGCTCCCTCTCTTGTGGAACTGAATCCTGATCGTCGTGTGTTTGTTTCCCCCATCGTCGTCCATAGCTGCATCCCAGACACCGGGGTTGCTCGATTCAACCGCTTGCAGGGTCATCCCTTTCTTCCCTTTCACTCTGCAAGGGATACAACAAGTACTCTTCGTTTTTTTAATCTGCCACATTTGAAGCAATAAAAATCTGTCTCTCACATTTTAATCAACGTGTAGCATGGTTTCGCATTGGCTCTGAGCAATGTATCGGATAGACATATGGTTTTGAAATTCTACTCTTTCTTTATTTCTTTCAGCGAAGCCATTCTACTGTACTTCATGAGTGTTTCTGCTTTGAACACGATAAAAGGGTGTCGCATTTTCTCCAATGTTTACCCCCTTTAGCCATGTGTGTTGTTCACTATTTTACGTGGACTCACGCATACAACGATTGATGTAACGTACACAATAACACAGGCCTTTAAAAGTGTGTATGATACGAAGATTGAAGTTTTAATCGCCATACACCTTCAATCGGATGTAATGCTGAGCAGCTGGGTGCCAATATTTTACAACTCATGTTTGTTTGCACATTGCAGAGCATAAATCCAGTAATGTATTCCATGGACCACGTTTAACGTTTTCCTATTCCGAAGGAAATATTGTTTTTGCACAAATTCCATTTCATTTACTGCAGATTGATGTCACCTTTTCAGGGCTGACATGCCAGAATAAATGATACATTTAAAACATTTCTGCAATAACCGTGAAGGAGAATGGACTGATATTCACATTGTGAAATGCACAGTATTCAGCGATTATTTATTCAATTGTGCATTGCCGCTTTGTTTTTATATTTGAACGTTTTGTTTATATGTAGAATTGTTGATGTGAGCTAACATATACTCGTACAATGCTCATTGTAACTTTCCTATTAAGACTGAACACACAAAAAAACTACAACTCTTATTGCAATTTTTTTTTATAACACAGAATTATAAAAAAAGATAAATACAGATCCTATTGACTTTTGGCGAAATGGAAATTGGCATAAAATGAGGCCAGTTAATGTAATTTGACAGCACAAATGACATGACAGTGAAATGGCGAATGTAAACAACGGTGTCCAAATGTGTAGTATTGACATTTACTCGGTATGCCGAGCCCTGGAGAAAGGGCTGAATGAAAGCACCACAATCCATGACAAACAACTGTCAATTACCATTACCGTTTATCCCCCAGTGGAATATATACAATATTCTACATATACATCTTATAATTAGTTTTACAATTGTTTGCAAATGTTAGTTATTTGTTTCTTAATAAGGAAATAACCACCATATGTGCATACTTTTAAATGTATTGTGAATGTCCTGCACTCTGCTCACGACCTTCACCAATCCTCACTGTGCTTTGTCTGTGTGTGCAATACGAATGTATGTATCATAGAATGCACACATATGTCTGTGCCTACTGCATGAGTAAACATTTGCAATGTCCAACGATGTTTTTGTAAAATCATATACACTGAGAATATTAACTTTGCCATGACAATGCGTACAACTCAACCCTGTGGATCATTATAACAGCACGCGTTTGTATAGCCCCTTTTTTCATGCTTGATGAAGACTTTCTCAAAAGTCATGGGGGGTTATATGACCATACTTCACCACGCTGGACAGTGTGGGTTGGTGAATAGACACGGGAGCAAAATACAATTGTAATTGTGAATTATGCTGAGCTACTATCTGCTGACAGCATAGTCCTCACGGCAGCCTGTGGCACCTCTTGAGCATGGTGGTCACCAATTCAAGCTCTTCATTGCCAGATTCAAAACCTGATAAGACTGGACACATGCCGGTTGATTTAGTCATTGGCTGAATGGCACCATATGTTAAACAAAAACACAACAATGCAGATTAGCAGCTGAAGAGCTGGCTTGACTGGCTCATCCACAGTATTGTAGAAAAACGCAAAGTCTTGATTGATTCGTCTTAGCATAAAAAACCCCGTTTGAGATCGAAGATATCTTTTGATGCTGTGAATTGCACTGCATGGTAATTTTACAACTCCTACTGTCAATACACACAGCATGAAATGAAACGCAATAAATACATGCACATGATATAAATAAACTGGGCTACTTCGCGCACTCCAAAATATTACCATGTGCTTACGTTTCAAAGAAACTATAATTGTATTTTTTCGTTTCAATAAAATATCAAAACTTTTCCTGCCATTTATGATATTACTTTATAGAAAGGCAGCAGAAGTTCTCCATCAACTAAAAGAAGTAATCGATTTAAAACACACATATCAATGTAGATATGTGAATTCAAACTCATATACATTCTATTGTGAATGAGGCTTAGTGGTACATTATTATTCTTGTTATTATTATTCTTGTTATTATTATGACTCGGAGTTAGGGAAGAGCAATTCCCCAAACACAATAATGTTCATGAATACAATGTTAATTTTATGCATGGCGTATTAATAGAGAAACTAACTTTTTAACACATTAAAGTCCAGCACAATATTGCATTTCCAATTGGGAAAATGCATATATCTGTACCTATACGTGTTAATCAATGACATTTGTGTACAATGCCTTGTGCAGATGTAGTGACATTGGGGATGTCACTGTATGGTGCCGGCCCGGAAGGGTCGTGCCGTTCGATGTTCCGACATCGTGGACAGCACCGTGTGGGTGGCTGTGTTCAACACCAGCCCTAGCGTGGACAGCACCGTGTGGGTGGCTGTGTTCAACACCAGCCCTAGCGGGGCTTGGCGAGCACTGGGATCGTACGGGCACCACGCACAGCGTGTGAGTGTCAGCCCAGCGGCAGGGTTGCCCCGGGCCATGGCACTGTGGTTGACCCCATAGACACGTGATCCGGAGTGTCCACACAGGGGGCCCCAGGTGGGGGGGGGGCTAGTGGGTGATCACGTGTCCGGGGAGAGCTCTTGAGAAGGATCGAGAGGGAACGAGAATGCTCGAGAAGGCGGGCGGGGCCGAGGGCTGAGAGGCCCCGACTGTAGGGGGATATAAGGTGGGTCCCTGAGAGGGACCGGGGTCGCCGCATTCTACAAGCTGGAAGCTCAACACCTACAAGCGGGAAGCTCTACGTCTCAAGCGGAAGCTCTTCGTCCTACGAGGCAACCACGTGGTCGGAGACCCGAGTGAGGGCCCGACCCTTCGTAGCAGTAACTCCTCTGTATAGGGTAGTTAGCTGGGTGGTCCCCACCCTAAGCTGTATCTGGTAAAGGGGCAGTTACCCATTTGTGTTACGGTGTTAAAATAAATGTGTTGCCTCTAAAGGGAACAACGTCTGCGACTCAGTTGGACTCACTACACATAAAAAAAAATCCTTATTGATGGCTTCACAAAAAATATGGCATTCTTGTTAATATAGCAACCAACAAAATAAATTGTTGCTCTGAACTCCTCGCACTTTTATCAACCCAATTTGACGGGTATGGTGAAGTATGGTCAAATAACCCCTCTCTGCCTGCACGACATAGAGAAGCATAGGGAGGCCCACATCCAGGAGTGGATTAACACGTGGGCCGAACATGTTCAAGAATTAACATTAAAACCACCAGACTCTGGTAAGTTAGTTTATCATTCGTGGACATTCACGTCTGCCTTAAAAGTCCTCTATATTGCCACACAACCACAGTACACTGAAAGGCAAAAGCAGCCATGAAGGAACTATAATATGGCCGGATGAGTGTCACAACAACCTACCCTTAGCAGCGCTGGTTTGCAGACATGAACAGCCACACTTGGAAGTCAATCATGCACAGAGGCTGTCCAATTATATTTTAAGAGTTTTAAAACACGCACACACATATATATAACATAAGCTATGTACAGCACGGTGCATCACAAACACGATGGGAGTTTAATTTATGCCATTTGTAACTGTTGATTGAAGACAAACATCCTTAGCGAAATATGCTTGTGGAGGGAAATGCACTCAAGCGCACAAACCATCCTTAATGGCACAGGAGATGGAAGGGAGTGTTTAATGGTGGCCCCATAGGAATAGAAATGCGAATGTAGATGGTAATACTGTGTAACAATGTTTTCAAATATATTCTCTCAGAGGTCCGTGTTGAGAATAAAAGTTCCATATAACAAGTCAAATATTCACGCTATCTACGGCGTTGTTGCCGTTTCTTAGTTATGTTTTAATGAATACTCTTTCAGAACATGCTTTGCAAATTTATTGGGAAATGCCATTTAGTTTTAGCAAAGCACAACTATGTATTTTTAAATTTCGATGTAAAGCTTTCGTGACTGCAGGGATTCATCTTCTTGGTTCTTTCGGTAAAGTCACGTAGAATGGAAATAAAACAATGTTTTCTTTTTATTCTTTTATTTCCATTCTACGTGACTTTACCGAAAGAACCAAGAATATGTATTTATAAATAGCTTACATCTAACATACGTGACCAAGCCAATACTGTATTTAAAAAGGAAGCAGGGCAGTTAGAAAATACGCATTGATTTTTATTTTCTTCAAAGTAGGAATGCACCCAAATTCACCTTTTGCATTGTACACAGATTTATCCACATTTATAACCGTTATCTGCAGGTCAGGAGCGGCTAGCTGGACAGCACATTTGTCATTTAGATAGAAAGCTCACTGCTCTGCATATTTTAAACAAAACACATTTTACATTAAGATGGTTTTGCATATATTACATATTAGCTCTTCACTCAAGGACAATTGATGTATATTTTATAATTGGGTAACAAGGTGCAGAAGGAATGTCCAACAATGAAATATTTATATCAGTCACGTTTTTGCCATGTCCTGTGGAACTCACTGGACATTAAAGGGAAATGAAAACACAATCTAAATGGCTTGCTGTCGAGATTAAACACTTTTCGTAACAGAAATGCCAAACATGCTTTCTCACGATAGTCAGATTATATTGCATTCCTGATATGAAAGCGGGCTGCAATGTCAACTGGAAACTATGGTTGCCTTTGGGCAAACATAAAATCAGGCCACTGGCATAATACTGTGCTCTACCTCCAACTATGCCTGCTTTCACTGTGACATGCGCATTCTTTTAATCGGGTGGGATTATATGGCTGTATCATCCCCAATTGCTACCATTCACGCGACC